AGCCACCACAGACCTCAAGACACCCATACACGGACTGTGTCCGTCAGTTACAGCAACAGGGAAGCATCAGCTGGAGATGGAGGAGGGAGCACAGGCTGGGCACCACTCCAACTGTGGGTGCAAGGCTGACCACATGGGGCAGAGGTCTTTTCAAGCATTACCATAACTGGATGAAAGAGAGCGTTTTGGAGAAAGGAGGTAGCAACTATCATGATACCTGCCTCACGAAAAGAATAAACGGCCTGTCACAAATTACCTAAATTTTGAGGATTTAGGTAAAAGGCAAAAAAAACCTTCCTAATAGTCTAAAACAACGAGACTCATATTGTTTTCCTTTTTGTTTCAAATGCCCAAGGTAATCCGATCTAATTTTTGTGCTCAACTGCAAAAGCTTTCCTTAGAGGGGATTTTCGGTAGACTCACCAATTCCGCCACCCAATCTCTGCCGTCACTCTTCGCCATTATTTGGTCATTGTTTTTCTATACTTTTTTTTTTAAAATAGTTTTAAGGTTTTCCTGTATAACTGTCTTTTTTTTTTTTAGGTCATATATTTTTTTTACAACCAAGCTTATCAACACTATGAAATGAAAGCGTACAGCGAGCAAGCACTGTTGCGGTGCTTCGCTAGACTGAAGTCAAAGAAGGGACCCTAATACTCCTCAGCATGTTTTCTCCTTTTCAAAATGGGCAACTGAGAGCCTGACATAACTAACGCCATGAAGAACCTACAAGTTTTCCCTTTTTTTCTTTGCCTTCTCCTTTCTGCATACATTTGTTAATGACTTTGTTTTGCTCTGTCCAGCCACCTGCGGCTTACGACACCACCCCCCAGGAAGATCAGCGCCCAGATGTCTGACATCTATATTTTTAGCCTGATAAGGAGACGTCTGGCATGTATCTCTTTAGTATGATAAAGAGTCTCTTGTAATTACCTTGTAATGAATAACTACACTTCTAACCTTTGTAAAATTCATATATAAGCTCTAATGTAAAAATGCCCTTTGGGATTCCACAGAGACAGCCTGTGTTGCTGTCAGATCCCCGGTGGTGGAGCTCTCCTAAATAAACTTTCTCACTCAATTTCTGACTTGGAGTACGTTTCATTGGCTCGACTGCTCCAGGGCACGGACCATAATCGGGCAACAAAAGACATTCATTAATTCACACGTGAATATTACAAAAAGTCTCCCTATGCCATCTGATCAAGAATAACTTACTCTGGAAGGGGCTGGCATACATTTGAACTAAACCTAGAGTTTTTCAAAATAAGCCCTCATTTTAAAAATTACTCTAAATTCAAATGAAAACAATTTTTTTTTTTCAAACAAAAACAATTTTAATAGGACTTTCCTTTCCAGAAAGAGTAATAAAGAAGGCATTCTGAAACCTGTGGCCCTGGAGAAGTCAGAACAAAAAATAAATGTACAA